CTAAGTCGACGAGATTACTCCCTGGTAGCAAGTCAATCCCTGAGTCGCTGAAGTGTGTTAGGGTTAAGTCCATTAGTACGTCTATGATGAAGTTGAATAGGAATGGGGATAATGGTCATCCTTGACGGACGCCACAGAATCTTTATTCACCACTGTTCCTCTTCATGAAACTGTTGATTTCATTTGTGATTACATCACAGGCAATGGAATACAATTACATATTCCTGTCACTTACATCAGAGACATTATCTTAATATGTACAGAAAATATCAGATTCACCTTACAAGTAAAGGCATATAAACAAATCGATGGTGAAACGATGGGAAGCCCATGCTAGCAGATATATTCATGTCGAAATCGGAGAAACAAATTCCAGGAAATGCTAAGAGAATTTATGCTATACAAACGTTATGCGGATGATACTCTCATTGTTGGTATTAATAGTAAGTCTATTGAAAACTTCGTTACTCTATTTACTCATATTTATCCATATATCGGAATCGAATAACAAACTTGGTTTCCTAAATATTTCAGTAACGAGTATAGACAATAGAACGATTCAGCGATCTATTTTTCGTAAACAGACATGGAGTACACAATATTTTCATTTCACCAGTTTTGTTCCCATCCAGTTTAAATGTTCCCTAGGGAAACTTTAGTTATCAAGTGCCCACAAAATATGATCCAGCGACACATTGATAGATGAGCTTCGACATATACTTTCACCTTTATTAGCTAATGGTTATCTACAGAACTTTATCAACTTTCACAGTAAGGATAGACAACACTTTGAAAAGGCAGCTTCTGTACCAAAGAAAGCTATCTTTATTATTTCTTTTATTTATTATTTTTCTATTTTGATTACAGCTTCATGCCACACTGTATTTTCCAGTACAAGCATGGAATTCTCAGCATGGATTTCGGTAGCCCAAATTTTGCAGGCCGACCATAGATATCAGGTGTGCGTCGGCAGGGGATCGAATCCCGGACCATGTGCATGGTCGGCGAGAGTCTTAACCACTGTGCCACCTACCCCATTCAAGGGTGATCGAGTGATGCAGTTGATAGCTCAAAGACTGGTCAGCTATCAAGCAAACTTTCGACACCACATCTCTTTCTTTCACATGCCGAACATTTTGAATTCCTGTACTTACGATTGAAAGACGAAATTCTGTGGATTGTACTTCAAACTGTATCTACAAGTTCACCTGCAGTTGTGGTGACACGCACTATATAGGCAAAACCAACAGAATGTTCCAATGTCGCCGAAAAGAACTTGTTCCAAAATGGTTAATAAAACATACAGAAAATCCCAATGCCATTAATCTGAATAGAAATCCATCATCATTCATTGCAAAACAATTAATTATGTCAGGTCACAAAATTAATATTAATTAATGAATGTTTCACAATTATCTCATCACATAACTCTAATTCACTTTTGGTTATTAAAGGTGATGGAAGCACTTTTGGGATTAATCACATACATCCTAAACTATGGGCACAAAAACCTTCATCTACCATGGACTACTTGACCTGTTTAAATATGATTGGTCATTAGTATAAACTTTTGTTTTGTTTTATGTAACTGAGTAATTGTCATGAATTTCATTCGATTTTATTATTATGAACCATTTTAGTTGTAAAGCGATTGTAAAGAAATTACGAGATGACGATATCATCTCGAGAAATTTATCTTCTAGGTGCCTTATTCAAATATATACATATATGCACTTCAGGTGACACCACACCAGACCGTCGGGTGCCCCCTCACCCGAATGTAATGACCGAGGTTGAGCATTTCTTCACGTATGGTATGGAGGAGGCCATGTGAAGAGGAAATGAATACTTATGGACAGTTGTGGAGCCTGCTGAAGAAGAATAAAGTGAACAGAATGAAATGAAGCTCTGCTGCTGACGCACTACGAACCACTCAGAAACTAACAGAGCATATATACATACATATATATATAGAGAGAGAGAGAGAGAGGAAGCTTTAGTGGCACAGCACTCACCGACCACACCTCATGTGGTTTGAGGTTCGGTCCACGGCCAGCGCACTCCTTTACCTTGTTAAGTCTGTAATACGACTGGTAAAGAGGGAAATTTGAGCATGAGGCAAGCAATCCCATCCAGTAGAAATAAACACCACTGCTACTGAAAAGTCAAGCCTCTAGCTTGAAGCCCACTGGGAACACAAAGGAATTAAAATAACAGATAGAGGGGGAGAGAAGCGACTAAAACTGATTCGTTTTAGTGTGAACTCAGAAAACGGACCACTGCGTTATACTGGATAGCTGGTTAAACTTCCCTGAGACACTTGCGATGACGAAACTCTCCAAAGACAGGATAAGGACGAGTATTCTGAAGTAATTAATTTCGCGGTTCTCAACAGTGTTGTTTGACAGAGCCATACAGTTCACCCTAAGAACAAAATGACCACTTAGAATCAAATAGAATATTTTCAACTAAGTGAGATCAAAAACCCTATCCATAAGAATCACACACCAACGCTTCTCGCACACAGTCTAAGGAAAGAAATGATCTTCATTCACTCAAACAAAGCCGCATCGTAGAACACCACAATTTTAATATCATGCATCACACAACCACAAGGAGAAGTGATAAAAATAGAGATTAGACAGGGATATAGACAGATAATAAGGATCCAGTCAGCATATGACATACAAATGTCACGATAATGAGGCACTATCTAGGAGAAAAACGGATAATAAGGTTACAAGGTTAGTTGAAACGTTTAAATAAGGCTGATTCAGGGGAGGCGAATCATGTGCTGATCAAACTGCAGCTGTACGCATCATCATCACAGAACAAAGCATAGGATGGTAGTCAAACCTCACTCCACCTCAATAGCTTCACCGACTTCGAAAAGACATTCTACAGAGAGGGTTGACAGAGAAGTAATTTGGAAACGGCCTTTGTCAACCTCATTCAACAGCAGGTTATATGACAGTGCTACATGTCAGGTGATCCATAAGGGGAACTCAGTGAGGCGTCCAAAGTGAATACAAGAGTAGGATGTCACTGCCTGCTTACTATCACTGATGTCATCCTTAATTATGGTGGACTGGATTATGCGGAAGACTGTGCAAAAGAGGTGAGCACACAGGAATATTCTGGACAAATAAGACGACTCTAGAAGATCTGGATGTCATGCACACATGATATATGTTTGATGTCACACAAAATCGAAGACTTGCAGAAAAACGAAAACAAACAAACTGGCAGAAGAGTGCGGCAGCGAAGACAGGACTTCAAATGGACATAGAGAAGGTGGAGACGGAAGTGATGTAGATAAGCAAACAACCAACCAACCAGCAGCAACAACAATCAGCATCAATCACCATCAGCAGGAGAGATTTGATAGAGGTTACCTCCTGCCCTCACATATCTGACCAGGAAGCACGCTTTCAACCACAGGCGCTTGTTGAGGATTAAGATGTAAAGGCCAGCCATCCAACCAGAATCAGAAAGGCAACCAGCTTGTAAATCTTCTGCAGTCAGGCGAAATAAACAAAAGATTCAGATTCTGTTCAACACAAATGTCAAGTCAGTCGGTCAGTCACATCTTCTGTGTGGATCAGAAACCTGCAGTACTGGTCACAAAAGGCATTTCCAACAGGCTACTACAGGCTTTTATCAACACATGCATACTTCGCTGGCTCTATATTGAAGGTCACATGACTGGGAAGAAAGAATTAGTAACAAGAAACTCTGGCTGGCTGAGAACAAACAAACAGGCGAGAGCCTGTCGCTCAACAAATATGTAGATGAAATTGGAGAAGCATTGATTAGGAATATGTTGAGGAGGCCATCGAATGACACCATGCTTAGTGCAGGCTGTTTCTCGAGAGGGATTCCAATGGGAAGCGATGAGTGGGTCGCCACTACCAGAGTGATATGGAGGTAATCGTGCGAGATAAAAGCAGGAGATGAGAGATTCTGGACAATCGTGGAGAAAGCCACGTGAAGAGGAGTTCAGAAAATAGAAGAAAGTGGAAACGTGTTGTTGAAGCCCTGTGTTTCACTGGGAACCTAAGGGATTAGCGATAAAAAGGCCACAGAAAATCAATAAAGACGAAGTCCGCATATGGCATACAAATGTCACGACAATGGCGGTACAGTCTAGGAGTAAAAGAGATAATAATTACACAATTAGTTGCAACGTCTGTGTAAGCAGAAATATTGCGATTAAATAGCTCAGGAGGGTTTCCTTTACCATGTTTTCCTTATAGACAGAAAGGGAATAATCCATAATATTCTTTCTTAACCTTGATGTAAATTGACTGATCGATAATTAATCAATATATTTAAAAATACCTTTATCATGTGATTACTAAGATTAATCAGAATTACTTAATTAATTAGTAAATACACATAAATGACATTTATAATATATGGGAGGTAAACGGATTGATTATAAATACTCGCAAATATACAAGTGAACGGAAGTATTGCGTAAGCATAACAGCCTACAATAATAATAATTATATTAATAGTAATTCGGAATATACAATTCCAAGCAGATATTTGAATTATTCAGTTTGTGAGAAGAAGAGGCAGCATAGAAGAGGATGGTATTCTCACCACCACTCCTACTACTACGCCTACTACAAAACTGCTATCAACTATGGCAGAATTTGCTGGACACTCTATTCGACTACATGGAAGGACCATTTCGGAGTCATTCTAATAGGATCACTGCTAAAACTGTTGCTACAAGTGGGAACAGTAGCCCTTTATCAATAACCCTTACACATTTACGACCAATTCATCAAAACTTTCTATTATGCTATAAACCATTCACATTGGGATTCCTTTCGTACGGTATAATATTCCTTCTGTTATTACTCAGCCATTCGTCATACTCCATATTCAGTGAGAAGAAGATTTACGTAATCTGTTTACTCACAATGAATTTTCTATGCATTTGGTTTAAGGCTCTCAAACTGTCACCTGATTCATTCCCCATTATTCACATGAACAGATATCACGTCGATGAAGTCAGGTATACTAAGCGTCAATATTCTCAACAGGCTGGACAACACCTGATCGAGAATCCCAGTCATCATAGCACAACATTTATGAATATTTTTCATGAATTTCTATGGATCAAAATGCATCTATTCACCAACTCGAATTTCATCAATCATTTTGTCTATTTTCTGTGGTTATGGTCAATTGGAGTACGTGTTAATGAATATGTGGGGCTGAAACAGCAGCATATGAAGACAAGTGGAATGATTGATGTATTAGTGATGAGTGGAATATCGATTGGAGTAGTGTTGTTGGTGACTGTCACTAACCATGACTACTCATCAAGACGATATAGATTGATTGAGAATGAATCGATTTATTGGATATCTTTATCTATTGATCGAATCTCGAATACAGCTTTAATCACAGATTTTAAACGCTTTCTAATCAGTTCTACTCTCCTGAGATGGTTGATCACAGTGACGCATTATTGCGTAATCCAGAGGAAATGCCTAACCCAAGATTATGCAACATTGATATGCATTAATGAAGTACTCATGTATACGCCTTCTGTGATCGATACATTTTGTTTCATCGTGTTCACCTATTGGATAGAAGACTACAGCAATGCTGCTGGTTTTATGCCATCACAGCCAATCAGGTCAAATATTATATCCAGGGTGTCGTCAGCCAGTGATAGATCGGACGGTGGGATTCGAGTTAGAAGTGCTGGTGACTCAAACGGAGACAGATAAGGAATAAAATCATTTTTTTGAATTTCAAACGTTTCAACTGACGCAAACCTTCTATAGATCTGGAATTCTTAGATAATGAGAACATGTTGTCATTGTAAGCCTTCTTCTTAAAACAGTCATGCGGGGAACTCATTAAATTGTGTCTATCGAGACAGCTATTGGACTATTCTGGATATAAGAGGTGTCACTCAAATAGGGCAAAGCTCATGTAATCAATAGTTTCTGTACACTGAAAACCACTCATGACATCTATATAATACATTAACTTTTATAATGATAGGTATTTTCTTTGTTATTAATATATATTGTCCAGTATGGTTTGAAAATAAACTTCCGTTATGTGTGTAAATTGAAGTTCTCTTTGGGAAGAATAACTCAAAAAATTAATAAAGTAATAGTAATTCATCATGAGAATTCAGATGGTTCTTTAACTAATGTCAGCTCATGATGAAGTCCTGTAACCAATCAAATCTCTACAAACTAACACTTGAATAAAGTAATAATTTCCAGAAGAAAAATAATTGAAGCGAACAGTTGTGGTTTCCCACTTAGTTCTTCCTTAGTTTCCACAGTTAGAAGGTAAATTAGAAGCATATATCAGAACCTGTGACTAATAAGGGGTGGCATTCTTACTTCTTTGACAGGTGACAGTACACTGTTTACAATGGCGAGTCCTCCACTGTTTCCTTCGCTTACTCTAGCTAGTGTTCCTCAGGGTGCTGTCCTGTCTCCTTCTGTTTCATCTCATATTACATGACTTGCTCTTCACTCTGATGAAGCCAATTTCGTTAAGTATGGCGATGATCTGGCTGTTTCTATACCAGTGGTCTCTCCTTGATCAGTTTGCTCTAAAATGAATAACTTTTGTTAGGAATTAGTCAGTTGTTCTTTCCAAATGGTTTCAAGTTAAATAACTCAGAATATCAGTCAGGTTGTTAATTTCACTTTCAGTTACAAGCACGACTTACTTGAACTGGTTCGTCGGCATGGTTCCACCATCATAGATCACACAGGAGTTTAAAATAAACTAGGTGATAAATACCTTCGATTATGCATTTCTCCTAATCTTTCCTTATCTCCCCACACATTTTTCTGTCTAGCAAAATATATCCTTTGGCGAACTAGCTGGACGAAGTTAAGGCAGTCCAGCACCATTCAGTCTCCACTGTGACAGTTTGTTAATTCTTGTATTCTATCTATTCTCTTTTATTTCTGGACGCCATTCCACCACCAACAAATTTTGGTAGCGCTGAATCACGAATTGGTAGGAGTTAGTATTCATTGGCTGGCTACTGAATAAAGTAGCTGAATTGTATACGAGCTTGCCTAGTAACCAAAAGGTTGTTGCTTCGAACCGCAGTGGATGCGTACTGCCGTACTACGGATGATTCCCAAACTAGGCTGATGAAACGGCTGGCTGTCCAGTACTCCATGTGGCTGGTTTTCAATGGTTCTCTAACTGATGATATCAATCCATAGTCAACTCGTAAAAACGAATTTAATCCTTACAAACCAACTCTTGGAAATATTATCTTGTGGAACCCTCAGAATCCTCCCCATAGTCAGTTCTCTCTTTGCAGTTTGACCTATGGTGACTAGACAGGGATTCCACGATGAGTGTTTCGACCTACTTAGTACTTATCATGTAGGTGTGCCTGAATTCATAGTGGTTGATGCTGTTCAAACTGAGACTCGAACCCAACAAACATCATTTCAAATGCTTAGGAGCGAAATACTCATTCTGTGGTCGCATGTCAGTTCCTTGTTAGGACGCTTCAATGATGTCTGATAACGACTAGCAGTCAGTTGAAGAATGTGCAAATTTGAATCAAGCAAATTGCAACTGATACTCATTGTAGAAGCAGTGACTTTTCTGGTCCACTGGTCTAGAGGATAACGCTGTGACATATTAGGTAACGGGTTCTGAGTTCGACTTCCATTTTGAACAATATAAATCACTTGTGATGCAGGTACATACAATTAATGAATCTTAAATGCAATGAAGTTTATTTATTTATTTATTTATTTTTGATTACAGCTTGATACCACACTGTATTTTCAGTACAAGTATGGAATTTTCAGCATGGATATCGGTAGCCCAAATTTTGCAGGCCGACCATAGACATCAGGTGTGTCGGCAGGGTATCGAACCCCGGACCATGTGCATGGTCGGCGAGAGTCCTAGCCACTGTGCCACCGACACAAAGAAAGAACCTCAGAAACCTTACGGAGATTTCTTAACAATGCAAGAATTAAAGTGGCTGGCACTCAAACCCACAAACTCAATAAGAAACAAGCTTTGACAATGAAAGTATCCTGTGGGGTCAGTTAAACAGAACAATTTAATTTATCTAATACTCTGCTGGAATGATTGTCAGATCACATATATGGGTGAAAGTAGTAGAACGGGGTCAGTCAAACTAGCGGAGCACAAAATGCCATGGCAAAATCTACATTAGTTGACCCGAGTCGGATAAGAAATCTGGAGAATAGTTCAGCTATACAGCTCACTACATGCAATTAAACACAACCACACAATAGGATAACAGTTATAAAATCTAATAATAACAGGGTGAAAGGAGAGATTGATAACTGAATCTTTATTTATCAACTGAAAATACGTGTAATGAGAATGACAACACCTGTCCCAGACACTTGGAAAATTCTACTATCCCTACGACAAATAGGAGAGAAAAAAGAAATCTATAAAATGAAAGTTTTGAAGTTGCGTGGTTATAATTCATATGATTATGAACAATAAATGGTGTTCAAAACGTCATCCGGTAAATAATATTGTTTCACTATGTGATATATCTAATAGACAAATAAATATGGAATTATATACCAACACTGAGCCCAAGTTTTACATGTATATTAACATTTATAATAATCTGAAAATAATTCTCAGATGCTATAAGATACAACAATCTTCATAGAAGAACCAGAACAAAAGCACTACATAGTCAACCACATATATCAGTAATAATTCTGTAGTTAAGCTTTGTTATATATATATCGCATCACGGACTCCCTATTTCAATCCTCAAACGTCCTCGAAGCACCCGTCCATTATATAAACCAATCAGGTGGATGGGGGAACACAAAATTACTTCAAAGAATTATTCCATCTTGTATATGTACAGTTTCTGATGTATAGATCACATTTGCATTTACCGACTATTTATTATTCGATAGCATGAACAAATTTAAAATTGTAGCGTGTGAAGAGGAAATCATTAAATCCGCAATCATTAACTGTAATTATTCTTGCGGTGAATAAATTATGGAGATTTTCGACTTACTGAGATGGTAAGCTTTGTTTACACAGTATAAAGTTTAAGAAATTGGAAGTTTAAAGGAATATAGCCCTATTTAATAGCGATAATTATGATTGCTTTGGATAGTGTTATTAGAAGACGGAGGTTATATGAAAAGCAATGTGATGTAGAAGTCAGCTAGTCTTTAAATCTAAAATCTCTATCGCCCCTAAGAAAAATTTTTTCATCAAATTACCATATAACGGTGAAATAAACAGTAGGATTTTGAGACAAAGGTGTTGAATTCGGTAATCTGTAGGACCTATTATGCAACCAAACCAGCTTGTAATTATCGTAAAAGCCAAAAATATGTTCCACTGCAAACCTCAAAATGCACAAGTGTTTATGTCACATCCAACATTATTTACCAATTTTCATGTGTGTGTGTGTGGACACGCATACACAGGAAGGAGTAATCGTGCATTGCATGTGACGGTGAGACAGCATATCCCAAAATGGTTAGAAAGACAAATGAATTGTGGAAAATCAATACACGCAGACTACCAACTTCATCTATTGCCAAACATGTAATCGAGATGAACCATAAGGTTGATATTAACTCAGCCTTTAAGGTCATCTATAAAAATGGTCAAGGGCGCTTACTGAAATACGCTAAGGCAATAGCTATTCATAGAATTAAGCCACCCCCTCCCTGTGTGTTTCAAAGCAGTTTATTATTACGAGTTGATCACGGATTAATATCAATTAGAGAACGATTGAAAACCAGGGAGTACTGGACAGCTGTTTCTTCCTAGTTTTTGGCAATCATCGACAGTACGCACCCACTGGGGTTTGAACCCAGGACCTTCTGGTTACAAGGCAAGCTCTTATGCCATTCAACCACTGGAACCTGATTCAGTGGCTCATGAATTCTAACTTCTACCAATTCGTGATTTAGCGCGACCCCAACCAATGCAGTCGGTGGGTTATCCATCCTCACACGTGACATCAATGGTCACGACTTCCCACTAGAACTCCAGGAAACTTCATCCTGTAGAAGTTAGAAATTAGAATTCATGGACCATTAAATCGGGTACCAGTGTCTTGTAACCGGAAAGTCCTGGGTTCTAACCCCAGTGGGTGCGTACTGCAGATGATTCCCAAAAACTAGGAAGAAACAGCTGTCCAGTACTCCCTGGTTTTCAATGGTTGTCTAAATGATATCAATCCGTGATCAACTCGTAAAAACATAACTAACCCTTACAAACCAAACTATAGAAAAATTTATTATTACTCTTAACCTACCCTGGTAATCCTGATTGGATTACCAAACGTTGTGTTAATTATTCTTAAATCTCTTTTGTCACTTTGTTTAATTTAATTGCTCTTAGTTTTCTTCATGTATATCGACTTGACAAGTAAATCTGTGAAGGATCGGATTGTTCGAGATGAATGCGGCAAATACATCACATTATTTTTCAGATAATCCCCATCTGCTAATAACACTATCCAAATTTATAAAGGGGACTGCATGTATGATTCCGAACATCCAGTTGAGAATTTTCAGAATATCACCTACTCTCTGTTTACGGAACCTACAAGTATAAAAGTAGTCCAGAGTGTCTCGTTAAATGAAACATTATTTGATTTGAAACGCATTCCAACCGCCATCCCCTCCTCCGTCTGCCGAATGGGCTTATTCACTCAAAATTGACGCAGTTCGATGTTTCAACCACCATGAAG